AGGATTGAAGGTGAAGTAATAGAAAATAAGACTGCGATAAGATTTTGATCAATGAGAAATCATAGAGTATATAACAGATGCGATGAGGGCTGTCAGGTGTTGTAAACAGAATGTTTCGAAGGACAAGTTGTGAGCCATCAAGATATCCATCGAAGCCATTCACAATGAATAGCTTGAAGATTTGATATTGCCATGTAGGGTAATTATCTGTGAGCAGCTGGATATGAATAATGTTTTAAACATTGGACATAAGAAACTTAAGTTGGGAGGGTATTGTGATATCACCATTATCGGGGATTAGGAGGGAGAATACAGATTTTTGATAGGATAAGAAAAGAGAGAAGGATATGCCATGAGGCAAGAGTCTCTGAGACCATGAGAAAAGTCTTGCATGAAGGTATTAGCAAAAAAGCAATAACAGAGATAAACATATATAGAAGATGATGTATATTAATACAGAGAGTAGTAAAGTTCTATATAAACTATTCAATGGAGATGAAACTCCTAAGCTAGCCTTAAACAGTTAGCAGACAACAAGTGTTATTGGATCAGCTGTAAAGTGGAGGCTACACTCATTTGATGTAGTTGAAGGTCTCTATAGACTGCGACAAATAAAATCATTTGTAGTAATGGGTTTATGTGTACCAGTTTGATCAAGCTCGCTGTCACTGCTCCTCCCCCTCCCCACCACACTGCAGCTCCAAAGTGCTTTACCTTCAACCTTAGAGCCAAACCCACCGAACCCAGATACCGCCTGAGCCCACTTCTCTCTCTAATCTCCAAGTGGTGCTACCTGAGCCCATTCTTCACTCCACATTCCCTTACATGCTGCTAAGCTCACTCACCCTCTCTCACTTCTCCCTCACACCATCAACCTCATCCAAATCCCAGGCCGCCAAGCTTTTCTCCACCCACAGTAATCAACAACCAGCCGATAGCCAAATTCAGGTTTGTTTCCTTTTTCTATCTTCTCATAACCCAAAAAAGTCATCTACTTGGCCCATCCTATCTGTAGCAGTTGCCTGTGACCTTCCCCACTCCCTAAAAAGAGATTTCTTTATTCACTCACCACTCTATCTTCCTCTCCCTAAGAACTAAACAGAAAGAATTCTTGCTTTCTCTCCCCCTCTCATTCTCTTCATAATTCCAAATTGATCTTATTTTTCACAATAAAAATGGAGGAAGCTAAAAAGAATAGAAAAAAAATTAAAAATATATAAAAAGAAAAAAAGGAGACATTTTAAAAATATTCTCATAATTCAATCTTTGAAACTCCTTACCTCATTATAGTTTCTTGGCATGTAAGAAATAATGCAAATTCTTAAAAATTAAGTACTTGTGCATGCTATTTTGGTACGAGGAAACAATTTGCATATTTGGGAGGATTTTCTCATTGCTTTGCTTTTTAGACTATAAACACAATACTATTTTGTTACTGATTTCTTGCTTGTATCACGCCACTTCGTATAAGTTTTAATAATAGGAAGCTTATTTTTATAACATGAGTTATTTATGAATTATTTATAAATGCATGAGATTATTATTTTATATTTGCTTTGAAGTAAAAAATAAATTCATTCTACAATTAGAAAGTCACAACAATGGGGCAGTTGGCTCGGTGGTGGTGGCAGTGGACAACAATGGGTGATTGGTAGTGGCTGATGGAAGTGCTTCGCAAGTGGTGTGTTAAGAATAGGTCTAAATTGGGTGAATTTTAAATACATATTAATAGGGAGTTTCAAACCATTTTACTCTGTATTTTATTTTCTTTCAACCAACAACAACAACAACAACATCAAGCCTTTATCCCACTACGTGGCGTCAGCTACATGAATCATTTTTCTCCATTGTGTCCTATTAAAAGTCAAATTCTTGTTTAAATCTAATAGAGAAATATCATTTCTAATATTTTCTAAGCAAGTCTTTTTAGGTCTGCCTCTACCTTCCTTAACATAAGTCAAATATAATACCTTTACTTTCCTAACCGGGTCATCGGAAGGTCGCCGTTTTATGTGACCAAATCATCTAAGGCGAATACTCTCTCTAATCTTATCTTCTACTGGAGCTACTCCAACCTTTTAATGTATATGCTCATTTCATATCCTATCTCTAAGGGTAAAGACACTCATCCACCTGAGCATCCTCATCTCTGCCACACTTAACTTAGTATTATGCTTCTCTTTTAATGGCCAACATTCGACACCACAAAGCATTGCAGGCCTCACCACCATCTTATAGAATTTCCCCTTAAGTTTGAGGGGTACATTTTTATCACACAACAAGCCCGATGCATTCCTCCACTTCAACCATCCAACTTGAAATTCTGCTGATAATATTCCCATCTATTTCACAATCACTCTGAACAATAGATTCAAGATATCTAAAATGTGTACTCTTATTAATAACTTGATCGCCCAAAGTCACAATCCTCTCACTAGGTCTGTTACTACTAAAATTACACTCCATATATTCCGTTTTAGATCTACTCAAGTGAAAACCTTTAGACTCTAAGGTTGACCTCCATAATTCAAGCTTACCTTCAACTCCCTCTCTAGTCTTATCAACAAGAAGAATATCATCAGCAAAAAGCATACACCAACGTACATCCTCTTGCAAATGTCTAGTGAGAACATCTATGACTAAAGCAAAAAAGATATGGGCTTAAGGCTGATCCTTGATGTAACCCAACCGAAATAGAGAAATACTTGGTCAAACCACCTTGTGTTTGAACACAAGTAATAGCTCATGCATACATATATTTAATGATTTGAATATAGTCGTTATTAACTCCTTTCTTTTCAAGAGCTTTCTATAGCATTTTTCTTGGAACTTTATCATATGTTTTTTCTAAATTAATAAATATCATATGTAGTTCCTCTTTAGTTTCACTATATTTCTCCATCAAACCTCTTAATAAATGTATGACTACCATAGTTGACCTACCCGACATGAATCCAAATTGATTTTGAGAAAAATTAGTATCACGCCGCAACCTATGCTCCATAACTCGCTCCCATAGTTTTAAAGTATGACACATTAACTTAATTCTTCTGTAATTCGCACAATCTTGTGCATCACATTTATTCTTAAAAATAGGAATTAACACACTCATTCTCTACTTATCTGACATCTTTTTAGTCTTCAAAACAGTATTAAAAAGTTTAGTAAGCTAATAAATTCCTTCATCTCCTAAGCATTTCCACACCTCTATTGAAATATCATCAGGTCCAATAGCTTTTCCACACTTCATTTTCTTTAAAGCCTCTCTAACTTCGATTTTTACTAATATGCCGATAAAAAAAGAAATCTTTCTTTTCATTTAGAGTGCTAATGTCATTACAGTCAATCGTATTTTCACATTCTTCATTAAAAAGTTTAGCAAAATAATTTTATTTTCTTTCAACCAAGAAAAAAAAATTTCAAAATCCGAATTTATTTTACTTTATACTATTAACTCTTGCAACCAAACAACCCCTTAAAAATTGCTTTTAAAAAACATAAATATAAATTAAAGCCTAATTAAAAAAAAAAAAAATCTAAGAACAAGAATTGAAAGGGGGATTCACAAACATAAACTCCTAAAATTGTTTTCTTATATTTTCTATTTACTCGCATAACACTTAAAACTTTAAATAACAAAACAATATCACTTATCATAACTTCCATCATCAACAACAACATTGCTCCCATCGATCCTATGGATAGCTTCCCACCAAAATTTTGTTGATCTGCAGCTGTTCATGTTGCCACCTTCACATCATCACTTTCACACATTGTAGGTCCATCGATGCCTTCCCAACGAGATTCCGGTGCACCTAACAAGATCCCATCATGTCTTCCATGCTTCTTCATCAACTAGGGATTAGAGGTTGTATTTTGTCATGTATAATTTTAAGTGGTTTGTGAATAAATAGTAAATTTTAAATGTGTGTTAATATGTTATGTATGTAAATCCCTCAAATTATAAACATAAATCATACAAGACCTTGAAAGATCACCACTAATATATTTTGTTATATCCATTGCTTTCGTAGGCAACCATATAGTCAAAGAGCTATCTCAGAGGCAAGGGTTTCAATATTTGACCTGACTCGGGCTTGACCTGAAAAATTTTGAGTTTGGATCAACCTGTTTTCCATACAAGTCGGGTTCAGGTTAGCCCGAAATCAACTTGAAATGACTCGGATACCCTGCAGCACTATCCCGTGCTCGCACCTGGACCCACGCCCGCTCCTGCAGGCTCGCATCTACACCGCTCCCACGCGCTTGCGTTTGCACCGCTTCCGTGCAAGTGCCCGCAGGCTCGGGCCCACACCGCACCGCACCCGTGTGCTTGCGTCTGCACGGACCACACCCAAATCACCCCACAAGGCCGCACCCTTGCCCACAACCGTACCCTGCAAAGGCCATGCTCGCCCGCATGTGCCCCCTTCGCCTGCACTGCTCGCACCCAATTTGCTCACATTGGGAAGGAGATTATGGTTAGTTGGTCCAATCAACCCAATAGCCCGAAGGGCCAAATTCAAGTTGAAAATTTTGACACGTTTACAAAACTAGACCGGGTTATGATCAACCTGTTTGTACCTAGGCCAATTCTAAACTCTACCCGAACTCAACCCAAAAACCCATTTTAACACCACTACACAGGTTTCTTGGTGCTGCACATTTGAATTCTCATCTGCCGTGGTTCCAATTTTTTATTCAGATACAGATACTTCCTCTGATTGAGATTATTTGCTTCTAAATCAAACTGGCAAGCCATTGTGCGACATTCATCTGAACCTATCCAAAATATTACATAGAAAAACAGTATACTCAAAACATATTATAATTAAAAAGGATAATTCATTGCATGTTAAAGAACGTAACCAAACCCTTAGAGCCGCATGACTAAAATAAATATAGCTTCTTGCTAAGATCTTTTCATTTGCTGGTGATTTTGCATATGCGTGCAGTCTTTAGCACCATTGATCTTATATAAAGCAGCTATGCACATCCAATTCAAATACCAATTTAAGCACTTTGAATTATGCACAATTCCCAACTACAGATACTTCACATGTTCAGAGATATATCCGGAACTCTATAACAAAACTAAATTCCAAAATTCATTCTTTCAACAACACTCCCTCCTACAGCCATCCACTTTCTCATATTGAAGAAATTGCCAGACTACCAAAAACACATACAGACTAGCAAGAAAAAACAAAAGATAAAAATAAAAACAACAGAAGAAATAACTTCCCAGACATTAAATGATTAAAGCTTCATTTGGGACGGCTTTTTTACTGTTTCTTAAAGCAGCTTTCGAGTATAAAACTTTTAACATTTGTACTAGAAAGCTGTTTTAAAAAACAGTAAGAAAGCCGTCCCAAACAAAACCTAAGACTCCTGCTGAACTAAAAGATATTCTGTTGATGAGATTCTAATCTATGCTCCAAAGCTTTGATTGTTGAGCAGAGCTCTCTCTTCTGCTCCTGGTAGCTTTGAAGTAAGAAATCCTTCCCTTCAATCACTGCACTCAAGTCACCCAGTTCTTTCTTCAGCAACAGCACCCTGTCCTCATCTCCTTTCACCTTCTGCAACCCAAAACAGTGCAGATCCAGATCATTCACCGTGTCTGGAAAACCATTTGCAGTCTCGGGTCGCCAATTTGCTACAGATGTCAGTTTTTCTGGAGAATTGGATTTCAAAATGCAGTGATTAGCAATGACCTTTCGTAGTCTTTGGATCTCTCTCTCCGACTCGAACAATTCTTGGTTTGCTGAATCAAGCTGAGACTGTGTCTGCACCACTTGAGACATCTGAGTACAAAGAGAGTTCTGAAGGTCTGCAATCTGGTTTTGCATGTCCATGATCATTTCATCTCGCCTTTTGAGCTGTTGCCGTAGTTTGTTTATTACCTCTCTTTTGGTATAGATGTCAGACCCAGATTCAGAGATAGAGGGAGAGTCCGAACCAGTAGAATGGTGAAATGGCTTGTGAGGAAGCTCAAGCAATTCAGGCGAGGATGCCCACAATGTGCCGCCATTAGAATCTTTGTTTAATTCTGCAGCTGAGATCTTCACTAGTGGAAGTGAAAGTTCTGGTTCTTTTGAGATTGGATTATCTGATACTTGCTTAATTTGGACTCCACCATTCGCATGTCCTAAGACATAAAATTTAGATATTGAGAAGATATAAGTAAATATAAAAACTGTGTGATTGTTCTCGTCTTCTTGATTTGGTTTCTTTCAATTAGGCTTATTCTTTGAATTAATTTAACTTGAATACATATTATATAAGCAGAAAAAAATATAGAAAAAGCAACATGATTTATCATTCCAAGGAATATGCATGCTAGCAAGAGATATATTTTGGATAGTTTAGTGACCATAATAAGTAATCACTTGCATGTCCACACAAGGCTAGTTGATATCAACAAAGATGGGCGTTCTTAAAAATGGAAGCAGTGTTCCCCTTTGACTTAACAATAAGAATTTTAAATGCAGGAATTTACATAGCATTCCAACCTTTGAATTAATATCTTGGCTCAAGCGAGGTTCACGAGTTTTTCTGTTACCAAAGGTTAAGATATATATATATATATATATATATATAAGAAGCAACTTCAGGCAATCTTACTGGAACTAGAATTTAGTAAATGTCTCATATCATAGGAATCCAGACTATTAAACATTCGAATGAACTATTATTTTAGGACTAGGAAGTTTTCTGTACAAAGTTCATATAAAGACCTGTGATAAAAGAATCAGCTGTAGCAGAAGCTGATGTTTAGGCCAAACAAGAGATCTGCGAAATTTATGGGAACTTCATAATAATTAAATCGACTTAAAATTTTGATCATAAAGGTATGGCTGAGAACAACCTTTTCTTTGGAAGATCGTTAAATACAGAAAACTAGAGTAAGTTTGAAAGGAATAGATCAAAAGAAATACGAGAAAAAGTTTAGTAGGGCTCATTTGATTTGTTATAGATGAAAAATATGTTTTGAAAAGTGATGGGTTTTTCACTCATTTTTTGTTTGAAAATGAACTCGACATATTTGACGGATTATGAAAGTATTTGTGGAGTAAAAGATTCATACAGATTTTCTAACTACATCCAACCAAATGATGGAATATAGAAAATTCATTGTTTTTCTAAATATATTTTCTGACTTCAAGCAGCCTAATACAACAACGACAACATCAAGCCTTTGTCCCACTATGTGGGTTCGGCTACATGAATTCTTTTTCTCCATTGTTTCCGGTTAAAAGTCAAATTCTTTTTTAAATCTAATAAAGAAATATCATTTGTAATATTTTCTAACCAAGTCTTTTTAGGTCTACCCCTACCTTTCTTAACATAAGTCAAATCTAATGCCTCAACTTTCTCAACCGGGTCATCGGAAGGCCTCCGTTTAATGTGAACAAACCATCTAAGGCGACTCTCTCTAATCTTATCTTCCACTGGAGCTACTCCAACCTTTTCACGTATATGCTTATTTCGTATCCTATCTCTAAGGGTCAAGCCACTCATCCACCTAAGCATCCTCATCTCTGCAACACTTAACTTAGTATTATGCTTCTCTTTTAATGACTAACATTCGACACCATAAAGCATTGCAGGTCTCACCACCATCTTATAGAATTTTCCCTTAAGTTTGAGGGGGACTTTTCTATCGCACATTAAGCCCGATGCATTCCTCCACTTCAACCATCCAACTTGAATTCTGTTGATAATATCCCCATCAATTTCACCATCACTCTGAACAATGGATCCAAGATATCTAAAACGTGGTTTGATCGCCCAAAGTCACAATCCCCTCACTAGGTCTATTTCCGCTAAAATTACACTCCATATATCCAGTTTTAGATATACATCAGTTGGCGATCAACTTATATTAGAAAATTTAAAAATATACATGTCCTAAGCTCTAATGATATGAGAATAGGTAATTTTGATCTTGCATCTTGCACACACAATTAAAATTTAATAGTTTCATCATATAAGGCGAACAGTATAGCTTCAAGTTAGAAAGTTTTGTTACATCTCCGTTAGGTTAGGGAGATTATTGTGATCATTAACACTTAGCCCTTGAGCATGCTGCAACTTGGGGCTTTTAAGTCATTAATCCATAGATATGATAATTATTACCAACTTTTTCTTTTTGAAATATAATTGTTATTTACTATTGGTTATATTCTTCAAAACTATCTCCCAAAGACTAAGGGTGTAGCTAAGTGATTGATGAAAGAGTTTGTTATTATCCTTATAAGGCGAAAATGACTAAACTGGTCCTTGATTATTTGTGGGGGCCATTTAAGTTCGAGGCTATATAAAAGTCCGATTTCGTCCCTTGACACTTTAAATAAGAGTTAAAGTAGTTTGTAATCGAAAGTGACGAAAATTGAGGTTACATTTAATAGATGCATTTAAAAATGAGAGTATTTTAGAAATATACAACTACTTTTTTACACAATCTAATTTCCTAATTATCTTATTTTATGGTGTACAACAACCAATTTTGTGAACATCAAAAGTGAATTAAGATTGTGTAAGACGTTGAACTTTTGAATAATCATGAATGTTTGTGCCTTAAGGCTCTTCTACATATGGATAAGATGTATAGTGTTAGGCTCAAGGGGTCAGGCACATATTGCTTATATATATATATATAACAATTAAAAAGTGTTTTAGTAATAAGAAAATAAGGGAAAATACTAAAAAACTTACAGAAATTGATGAAATAATGTTGAATGTCACTGAAGAATTAATAAGGAAAAAGATAAATTGATGGAACCAAAATATAGATAAAACCTTGAGGAACGCTCAACAGAAATGAATGAAAAATTGTGATTGACAAAGCTAACCATAACTAGTTGGATAAGGTTAGCGATGATGATGATGATGATGTGATTATGACAAACAAATGTCAATGATTAGCTTGTTTTTTTGTTTTTCAAGCAAAAAGTTAAGCATGTGCCTATGTTTTACTCATCAAATAATCTTATCAACATTATCCTTTAATAAATACAAGAAATAGAAGCATTGATTGGGGTAAAATTGGACCTCCGAGTGTTCCTTCCAAAGCACAACTGAATAAAAGACAATAGCTAACTATTCTTACATCGGCTACTCCAAGACATGCAAACTTTGGTCGGACAAGCCTCATAGAAAGCCTACTGACACTTTTAAGAAAGCTAGCACAAAATGTGAGCCATATCCACTGAGTTGGTAAACCACTCCACCCAAACACACAAGCCAAAACATCAAATGATAAATTTACATTAGTGCATTCTTATATTAATTAATCAACTTACCACATAATAACCAAAAAACGATTTGAACAACATATCAAAATACATGATACTTGGACAACTTCAAAATGTATAACAAATTTAACATGTAAGTATGTTGGTAATGATCATTCTAATGATCTAATCCAAATCCAAGTTCAAGTAGAAGTAAAACCATCTGTATCAAAATCCAAACAACTTAGGATCATTTTAATTCAAATGAAGTCAAACCAATACTCAAATAGGCCTTCCTAGATGACAAGGAAAAAAAATGATGGAGGAACAGGAGAAAAACAGACGAGGAAAGAGAAGGCAAAAGAAAAAATGAATAAATTAGAGAAAAAGAAGAATAAGAGAACACTGCTCCCTCTTTGGGAAGGTTTACCTGCCTATTAATTGGGGCGGTGGCTTTGCTTTCCAGTATTGTTGTCCTCATTACCCACAGAAACTTCTTGCTGTAGGGACAGGATAAAAAGCGGCAAACTCCTAAGGGTGGAAGATGAATGAAGAAGAAAAAAATGGAAGATATTAATGAACCAACTTCTCTACCTGCCACCATTATCTCTTACTAGTGCTCCACCCCTGTCTCTTACTATCCAGCACTGTAGAACGTGCTGGAAGCCCAGAAATAATGACTAAAGAGAAACAAACCTCTAGACTCCAGTTGCGAAATGGCAGTGTTGTTCTGTGGCGTGCTCACTGGTGATCAGAGGCAATCCTTAATATAGTGAGGTGATGAGAAGCCAAAATTCAAAACAGTGGGAGCGGGAGCATATGAAGAAAGAAGATTGATTGATGGAGAATAAAGAGGCCACACAACTTATTTTCCTATGTTTGGCAGTTTCACGAATAGTTGCCAGCCTGCTGATTGCCACTTTAATCACAAATAATAAACTAACCAGCAGCAATAGTTGCTAACACGCTGCTTCTACTTATAGCTCGGTGGGAGTCTGACGCATAAAGAGTAGATCAATAGGAAAAAGAAGACAAATGAAAAAAAAAAATGAAGAAGCTGAAACGGACTTGTTGAACATTTGTAAGTTATTGTTAACAAGTTCAGTAAAATTGGGAATTGAGTAAGAGCCTCTGGATGGTTAAACGAACAGTGATGATGCATAATTGTATGCATCAGAACCGGAAAAGTCCTTGGACCATGACTTAACATGGAGGCATTAATTGCTTTTTTTTTTTAATGGAGGCATTAACTGTTTAACACATTAAGTTGGAAGACTAAGGTCAATAACTGGAACATCTACAGGATAAATAAGATGGTCATATAAACATGAAAATAATTCATTGTTTCGACAGTTTCAATTTCAAAGAAAAGCCTTAATTGCATGTCAAGCTGTACTTGCAGGCACTAAAATGGTTCAGGTATGAGCTAATATATGAGTACCCTGTCCTTCTACAGAAAGTCTAGCTAAACATACAAATAACTAGCATGATTATACAACATATCTGTAGAAGTTTAGAATAATCATCTTTTATCACATTTCCTGAAGCAAATCTACAAATAAATCTTCAAAAGGAAACTAAATATGAAATGAAGAGACTAATGCATTTTGAAAGTGCTAATCGAATCTTCTCTTCAAAGATGACATCCGAGGATTCAAATAAGTTACATGACAAGAGGAACGCACTAAACATATCATATGTTAAGATAAAATGATCAAGGATGCAACGAAAAACAAGGAATGGAATATTTGACATTCTTAGTAAGACTATCATGAAATTCCAATCAGTAAGAGTTCATAGATTTTCTGCAGTGTTAATAATTAGAAGCATGGATCTTTATGGGTTTACAAGCATGAAACTTTGACGACCATTTTGGATTAACGAAATTATATTAACTAAACAAAACAAAACTACTATCATGATTCATTGATAGCGAATAAGTTACTGATCAATCCGGTCAGTAGCATTCAGGTAGAAAGAATTAAGGGAAGTAAGCTATAGAAATAAATGGACTATCTGGGAAAGTAAAATAAAAATCTAAAACTATTCTCTGTTGCTCAGTCCATCATGAGGTCATTCAGCTTGAGGTTAGAGGGTATTGCTAGACAGCTGAACCAGGGTGCTGGGGCTTATTCATCATCCTCCACATTTACTTGTAGATTCAATCTCGTAACATATCATTCTTCTGGTAGCTAGATTAACAAAAACCTTTTTATTATAACAGAAATGGCCTTGAAAAGGACCAGATTAACTTATTAAACCAAAACCATAACTTTATACAATAGCCTTTTGTTTGACTATATGAGCTGTTATAAAGTTCTTGAAGATGGCAAGGATAAACCAACAGTTCTACAATCGCTCGAGGATCTCAGACTCCTAGTTTACCTTCTGATGCTCTAATTTCTTTTAGCTTTTACATTTTCGATTTTCCATCCATGCCATTTTCATGTGAAATGATGTGTTTGCAAAATGTTCAAGATGACAAAGCATATTTCTCTTGGCTACTGAATCCTCAGAATTTCTTTCACGTAGCCATTCTTGCTTGATGAATGCTAATTATACAAGCTTCAAATTAAAAAGAAAAGGAACATAATAAAACAGAGGCTCAATTACAAAGAATAGTAGCACTCAAGTTAAAATGAGATTGTAATTTATGAAATATAAAGATTCAGAACTCATGTTTTTGCAGATAACAAAAGAATACAAAATTAAATTTTGTATTGTGAGAAATGGACAGCGATACTACTTAAGATAGGCTTCCTGGAAGCCTTAATTTGAGGAAGCCATGAGCCATTGGATAAGGATGCCAATCACCATGGTCAACAGCTAGACTTACTGACAAAATTGACCAACAAACAAGAGAGAGGGAAAGGAAGAGAATGAAGAAAAAAACTCTGTGATTTCTTATTGCTATAAAGTATAGAATATAAATTGTGTCCTAGGCCAGCCCTCTAAGCCAATATTTATAGGCGAGGGTAGAAGAGCACCTCTATAGAAAAAATTATTTTTAAGTAAATGAATAAATAACATGATAAAGTTTAATGAAGGCTTCTCATAAAATGAAGATACACTAGCTGTGGCTCCTAGATATGTGTTAAAAAATTCCAAATATGAGGGCCCATATGAAGTCATTGGCCAACTTCACCATTTTTGAACAAGTTATGGTAAGTTATTATACGATGAATTTACCTAGTTAGGCTCAAGGACAAAGTGAGTGAGTTTCTATGATGACTTTGTTCTACTAGATGCAGTCGCATTGAAGCATGAGATGGCTAGATCTCGTCGGTGAGTTCACTAAAGCAAAGGCGACTACCTTTGATTGACCTTGAGGCTGATGAAACCTTGTCTTTGACGACTTCAATTTGATGAATTCATCAAGTCGATGGTTGTGTTGGCTTGAACTCGGCCCAAGCAATTTTGGGTGTACATTTCCATATATATAATCAAATCCCATTCAAATGCAATTTTTCAAGCTCTTTTAGGACATATGTATTACATCTTGATCAATATGACTAGAGACAGAAAAAACAAATACAAGATGATCATTTTACAGATCATTTTAAGTGAGAAATATAATATGTGATAAAATTTAATGAATGCTACCTGAGATAAAATGGTAGCAACAGTCCTTATCCGGTGCAAACGGGTATAAATTCGAATGCAACTGGCATCCTCCTAACCGTGGCTTGGCAGTACTCTTATTCCCTGTTTGAAGGATAAATGCGTTAGTTCTTTCACTAGTCCAAAAACATCTATGAAAAGTAAAAAATATAAAAACTAACCTCTACTATCTTTGTTTAATCCTTTCGCTTCCAAGGCCTGTTTCAACTTGCATCCAATCCTAATTGACAAAGTACTCAGCAAGGCGCCTCCAGCAATGAGGATCCAATTGGGTCCGTCTCCGTTGACACGGTCCATCGTCTGAGCTCTTTGCATGGACCCATTTGCTTTTGATTTCATCTCCTGAAACCAAAAAAAAAAAAGTTCAGGAGAAAGCTTACGATAGAAAAAACTTGGCCTAAACAATAAAAGCCAAACGACATTAAACAAGAATATCATCTAGGAGGAGATCTCCTCCAAATAAAACCAGCCAGCCCTAGATTGTAATGAAAAAAAAGGGGGTAAATTGTTAGCTCAGGGAACCCTAATACTGTATTGATTTCTACCAAAGCATGAATAATTCAGCACCGAAAGACTACGAAATCACAAAAAAATACAAGGAACCACCAAAAACACTGAAAAAAAAACACATTTGAACAAAGACAGATATTTTTAGTGGAGCGGAAGGGTGACAGACCTCATTCATACGGGTAGAAGATGGGGATTCGGGTCATTCACTCGGTAGAAGGTGGCTGGAGGCTTTAAAATATCGAAAGTCTATACTTCTGCAAATCTCTCCGGCTCTCCAAAATCATCATTTGCTCCGTCGTCAGCTGCATTTTTTTTTTTTCTTCTTTAAAAAAAAAAAATTACATGCTCCACTCCCGACACCGATCCGAGTTTAGGATTAGTTAGAGGGGTGGAAGAATTCATTTTTTTACTTAATGTATATTTTAATATAAATATAAATATAAATATATTTAATATTTTAGTTATAAATGTTTTTTTTTTTTGGGGAAATTTAGTTATAAATGTTATTTTTATTTTTATTAAAAACCACATAAAATAATGTATTTATATATTGGAAGGGGATAGTGCCATTATAGTGGGCTGAAATTTTCCTGTAAATATGAGCCTTGTCCACATGGTGCATGAGGTCGAATGACTAGAAGTTTATATCTAAAGATAATTAAACACACTCTCCTTGCCTATGGTTGGAGCTTAGGCTTCCAACTAAGAGTCTAGGTTCGAGTCTTTATGTAGCGTTGTGTGTGAGTTTGCTTAAAGGCCTAAATGTCCCAAAAAAAAAAGATAATTAAAACGCCTAAAATTATTTTAATTTTTAAAAAATAATTTGGAAATTCTTTTCAAAAAATAAAAAAAAAGTGAAATAGGTGCTTTGTTTTAATAAATTTAATTTAATTATCAAATTAAATTCAAGATTTTAATAAAACCTGAATTTTAGTTCTGTCTATATTTAACACTCAACTCAACCATTGGAATTCATCTTAAGTAGTATTTTATTCACTATAATTGAATGAAATACTCGTTCTGAAAATTGGACCGAACAACGAATCGGAAGAAGGAGAGGTTCACGGCTCACCCGGTTCTACCGGTCGAACCGGAGTTGAACCGAATGACGTAATAAATAATAATATTATAATTAAAAATTAATAAAAATTAATAAATTAATGCAATATAATAATCATATAATTTCATATAAATTAATTGTTAATTTATATTACATATTTAGATTTAATTTAAATAAATTAATGAAATATAATAACATATAATTTTATATAAATTATTGTTAATTTATATTACATATTTAGATTTAATTTATTAATATAAATTATTTAAAAGCTCTCAACATAAAATTATAAATATAATTAAATGTTTTAATATAAAAATATTTTATTTGGTAACATAAAAATTTTTAGAGTTGAAATCTAATAAACTTTGCAAATTTTTAATATAAGAGTAATTTATTTGATAAAAATAAAATATTATTAACAAAAAAAAAAGAAATAAATAAAATTTCCAAACAAAACTTAAAAAATAAATAAATATTATTCAATTATAAAAATTAATTTTTATATATAATTTATATTCATATAATTTTAACTCGAGCGGCTTACTGAACAAAAAAAATATACATTAATTTTAAATATATATAATAAAAAAATAAATATTATCACTAAAAAAATTAATAGTATCAACTAAAAAATAAATAATATCAACTAAAAAAATAAATATTATTCATATTATAAAAATTAATTAAAAAAATTGTTTAAAAAAATATGTTGTATAGTATATATATGAAACTAAAGATGACTTTTTTCTTTGTATGGTTTAGTTCCACATCACTTGGGAAGTTTTGTTTTGTAAAGTTTATATACCTTTCTGCTTCCACTCATGATAAAGTAATAAAAAACATATGAGATGATTAAAATAAATATTTAATCATGTCTTTAATATATATATATATATTTAAAAGTTTTATATTAATATTTATATTTATTTAATATTAAATAATTTATTTAATTATTTATATTAAAAATTTTGAACCGTTCGGTTTTAAAAAAACCCTGATCGGTTCGCCGGTTCACTGGTTGAACCGGCGGTTCTTGCCAAAACCGGCCAGTTTGAAGCAAAGCCGGTTTTCAGGTTGAACCGAACCAGCCTTCAAACCGGTTCATGGTTGAACCGGTCGGACCGGCCGATCCGGTCCGATTTTTAAAGCAATGCTAAAGTGAATATTAAGAGAGAGAAAAGCAATGAAAAACTTTGATACATAGATTCATTCTCCATTCTAGTATTTTGAGCATTCAATTGCAATATGAGCTTTATTTAGTATTTGTGAAAGAGATAGCTCATATCTTGAAGTACTCATCCATCGACACGAATATTACTTAAATGGTTGTCTTAGGAGTGGTCGATTTTATTCTTTAGAATTGGGGGGCACTGTGATCTCAGATTATGCTGAAAGATGTAGCTTTCTCTCTTTGAGTTGAAGCATTGGGTGGTTCGATTCCTATTAGAAAAATTTTGTTGTGAGGCTTCTTCACCTATTATTGCGAAGAAGAAATAATAAAATATCCCAAGAGGAAGATTCAAGGGGTAGACGTGAATCTTAAATGCTTGATCTATGAGAAAGCAGTTTACATCATACTTATTACTCTTTCAAACTGTTAGAATGTCATAAATCTACAATAAAACCTTTAGTATTGAACATATTAAAATACAAAGATAATCAGAGGTTGCAGGTATCAACTCATCTTCCTTGATTTCAATGAAACAATAATCATCTATATAGACAGAGGATGATGTATTGTGAATACAATCAAGCCGTTGATACAGGATCTCTATGAATGGCTGAGATGGAGTTGGTAGTTGTCAAATCATGTGCATTTCAGCAGCTTTTGTCAGATGGCAGAGATAGTGCATGCTGTGATGAAGATGTGCAACGGTTTGAGCCTTTACCACTATCAGCCTCCCTCAAATGAATGTTCTGGTTCAGGAGCGTTAATTTGTCACGCAGATAAAGAAAACGTTTAATCGGTAAGGCCTTAGTGAAGATATATGCTGGTTGATCAGTGGTTGAAAGATGACGAACCATAATAGTTTTGGACTTAATGCACTCTCGAATATAATGGTGATCGATTTCAATATGCTTTGTCCGAGCATGAAATACAGGATTGTTGGCTAAAGAAATAGCCAAAATATTATCACAGAATAGTGAAGTTGGGAGCTCTAGAGTGATTTGAAAATCAGCTAATAAGCGTCCAAGCCACACTATATCAGTAGTAGCAGTGATAAGAGCTATATATTCAGATTCAGTTGACGAACGAGCAACTGTAGCTTGCTTTTTAGTGGACCAACTAATGAGGTGGAGCCAAGGAATATACAAAATCCTGTAGTTGATTTCCGATCCTTCTTATCACCGGCCCAATCCGCATCTACATATGCAGTTAGATCCAGTTTTCCGGTTGTAATGGGTAATGCTAAATCCAGAGAATGTTGAAGATATCGTAGTATGCGTTTCAACAATTGAAAATGACAATTTAGTGGCTGATGCATATGTTGACAGGCTATGTTTATAGCTAGAAGATGTCTGGACGAGTCAATGTTAAATATTGTAGGGAACCAGCAATGCTACGATACATTTGCGGATTAGAATATGGAAGTAGATCAGTTGGTGAGGTAGCAGATTTACTAGAGACCGGATTTTGGAGAGGCTTACACGAAGTCATTCTAGCTTTATCTAGGATTGCCTTGGCATAATTGGATTGATGTAACAAAATAGTGGAATATGTTTTGTCAACTTGTAAGCCAAGGAATGTGTGTAAGGAGCCAAGTTGTTTGATCTGAAATTGCTTTTGCAAATCCTGTAGCAATTTGGAAACTTGTGTAGCAACATTACCCATAATCAGGATATCATCCACATAGATGAGTAAGTAAATGGAATAAGATGAAGATGAGTAGATTAGTAAGGAGGGATCCGCTTTGCTGAAGTTAAAGCCCCAATGGAGTAAATAATCTGTGAAGGTGGAGAACCATTGTCTAGGAACTTGTTTCAAACCATAAATCGCTTTGTTTAATTTGCAAACATAGCTAGGATGAGACGGATCCTTGTATCAGGATGGTTGATCCATGTATACTACCTCATTGAGTTTGCCATGTAAAAAGGCATTTGATACATCAATTTGACATATTTGCCAATTGTGATGTAAGACAATCGTGAGAAAGACACGAATTGTTTGAAACTCGGCTACCGGACTAAAAGTTTATGTAAAATCTAATCCATATTCCTGTTTATAGCCTTTGGCTACAAGACGTGCTTTGAACCTTGCTACAGAGCCATCATCATGAAATTTGGTTTGATAGAGCCATTTGCATCCAAGAATATTCATATTCGGTTGAGGAGGCACTAGAGTCCAAGTGCCTTGAGTTTGTAAAACCTGAAATGTCACGACCCGACCCGATTCGGGACGGATCCCGCTCGCACTGGGTCGCGACACGGAACAAACAGACTGACTTACTGACCAGGATCTGGTTATGGAATTTGGTTCGGAACTGAATCTTCCAAATAATTTACTCAAACAGACACACAGACACAGAGCTACTATGAATCATCAAACACAGCGGAACAAAACATCTGTCTTTTTTCTTTTCCTCAAAACAATCATCTACAAATACAGTACATGGCTTTTAGACAGAAAGGAAAGACAGAATAGAAAAGCCATGACTGTACAAAAATCAAAAGTACAAAACAATACCTACGGATCAGACTCTGAAATCTATTCCTGGACTTCCTTCCCCTTCCCAGAACCTGAAAACCACCAGAAAACAAGAGTGAGCTCAACAGCTCAGCAAAGCAACAAACCACCAATAAAATTCTTAGAATCTCAAAACCAACACATCAGACAAATCCGTACAGAAATCAGAACAGAATCGGACAGATCAAATCAGACAGAACTGAACTGAACAAATATCAAAGCAAACAGAACTGTACGGAAACAGAACTCGTATCAAATCAGAAACAGAATAGAATCGTATCCGAATCATATCAGAAATCATATCATACAGATCAGAATCAGATTCATATCGTACGGAAATCAGAATCATATCATAAATCAGATATCAGATATTATTTAATTCATAGCTAAATGCCCTGACACTGACAGAATCTCTACGGATTCCGGCCCCTTATGCCTCCCTTCCCAGACACTGATAGAATCTCTCGGATTCTGGCCCCTTATGCCTCCCTTTGTGCTCACGGCACCAGAACAGATGTGCTTATAGTACTAGAATAGAATTCATCGGATCCGGAACAGAACAGATGTCAGATTTCAAATTTGAGCTCATTCCAGATTTCTCAGACACTAACTGAATCTCTTAGGATCCAGGCCCCTTATAACTCCC